CCGCTGGAAGTTTGTTATATCTTACAGTAAGATTTGCTGTAGACATAATTTCCATTTTATTTGGTGCCAGGTCATGTAACTTGCAAAAAAAGGGAAATAGTTGGAGAGAATATTTTTTATGTGCCTTTAACATGGATTGACTGCCAGAACATGCAGAAAAGAGCTCTTTGTTGTGAATGGATTTCCCAAATTCCCTTTTATGGGTTTGAACATAACCACCATAAAGTGACTATCTTAGCCTGAAAAGAATTAGTATGACTGCATTCAGACACTGTATATAAATTTGTGCAATGAGTTAGATATTGTTTTATCACACCTGGCAGAGTATTTGATTGTTCTAAGATGTAGCTGCAAATTCAGCAGATATTTCAAAAAGATTGCAATTGTAAGAGTGCTGAGGAGAGGGCATGAAAATGAGCTAATGAAGAGATTTAGATTTACTCAGCCAACTGAAAGAAATCATCTTGGAAAGGATAACTTCTCACTTGAGGTAGAGCAAGCCCTATGACTGAAGGGCCTCTGGGCTGAGGACGCTATTCACTCAGTTGTAACTCTGGTTATTTGACTTTCTTTTGTGAACTGTCAAATAACTCTGCCTTGGAAGGCTAAGGTACAGCTTGTTGAAGCTGAAAAGGTTCCACTTAGATTACGTTTCTATGGGATGCATGATTGCCGAGAATCGGGAAAATAATTCCTACTTAGATTCATTTTTTCCTCTGCCTTAGGGAGAGATTGACAATATCCCATAAAGCCACTTTTGTTTCCAGATAATGATGATAATTTTCAGTGGAGTGTACTCTACGTGCTGTTTTTCAGATTGAAATCAGCAATGATACACTTGATACAAACTTGCTTAAACACATCCTGCGGTCCTGGTAGTTTCCATCTCTGTAATTTAGTATTTTAACTTGTGGAATAAGTCATGTTTTAGGAGAGGGTGTAGTTATTGTAGGTGAGAAAAGGGAAGCTTTTTCACGGGTTTGCCTCCATCAGGAACCTGTGCTTCAATTTTTATTTTCTTCATGCAGATCTTTATGAAGGACTTGACATTTCTACTTCCTTCCTCAAATATTATCCTAATGGGCTCTCAGCAGAAATCCTTGCTGTTTTGAAAAGCCTGCACAAATGATGGTTGTTATGTTGAATGTAACAGTGCTGAGTTCAAAACTCACATGTCTGACCATGGGTAAATCTCTGTATTTCCCTTTCTCCACTGGCAAGAATGTAAAATTATGGAAATAGTAACAGCTCTGCACAATTCTTAAATTGTTAAGGAAGCTACGTGAACTGATGAACAAGTATATTTTCTAGTATTTACTGGACTGTTTGAATGAAGCAAAGATTTAGATTGACTGGGTTTTTTTGGCCTGGCGCTTTTATGATTATGTTTCATGCAGAAATATTCTGCACTCGGTAGGATGTCTTTTGCATTTAACTTTGTATGCAATGAATCCTGGTCTTACGCAGCCCCAAGTCAAAGTAGTGCATGCCCTATTTAAGTAATGAGCTATTGATTTTAAAATTACTCATTTTATTTCCATACTATGGAACTGGTAATATTCTGAGAACTTGCCTCTGAAATGGAGGCTGTTTAATTTTGGTTTGAGATGGGACAGAAGTGGACTTCAAGGATTTTACCTGTTCAAATATGGCATATCACAGGCAGCAGGGACTGTTGAGCCCCATGTAGAGCTGTGCAGAGCCCTGAAAGCATCTGGGAAGAAATGCCCCTTCTTCTTGCTTGAGCTCAGCCCTCTGAACAGGCTTGGAATGTAATGTCACCTTCATTTGTCACTGGTAGCTCTACCTTGTTTGAATTCTGCTGCTAAGTATTTACAACACCTTCATGATCAAAGAACTGCTGCCAAGAAGGCTCATGGTGAGAAATTTTGACCTACTTTTCACATTTGGCACCACTTTGCCTGCGAAGACAAGGTAGACTGTGAGCAGACCTTGAGTGGAGGGATCCACCCTGACTCTGAGACAATAAAACCCTCATGGCAGAGAAAACAAAAAGCACATTGCAAACAGCCAGGGGCTAAACTTTCCCTGTCTTCTGCCCCCTCCCCTTGGGAATTCAGAGTGAGTTTGCTGGGAGAAGGGGTGTGAAGGTTGTAAGAGTTCACTTTTATGTGCTTATTGGTTTTCCATCGCTTTTTCTGCTGCTGGTTCTTCACTCTGCAGCACTGGGGGTGTGTGGAGACTCAGTTTGCTTTCTTCTATTGCTTTAACAAGTTTTAACTGCTCATGCCATAAGATTATTGCAGGTCCACTTCTCCTAGTACATAAATAAGGAAAAATACCTACACATCTCATTTCTTCAGACCTATATTTTTACTTTACAGGTTGTGATGTTGTTTTCATTACATAGTATGTGACTGATACCCTATATTAGTAAGCTATATTTGTCAAATAATAGAGATCAGTTTGTGTGTTTTCTTACCAAGAATCCCATTGTGCTTCTTCTTCCCTTCCCTCTTCCCTCCCCATTGGATGTAAAACTCAAAACTTTGTAAAATTGTGGCAGTTTAATATTCTCACTTTATATATATAAATTGAAGTATAAAACTGGGTACTTTATGCAATAAATATGCTGCACATTAAAAGAAAATCCTATGTATTTTTTATACTTTTAATCTGAATATTACTTGAACATACCCATTTATTTCATTTGCCAGGTGTGAAAGGACCTTAAGATGCCTATTTTTTTAGTTGCAGATGCCTTATGTTGATCAGGGGAACTGATCCCAAGTTTTCTGACCACTGATTTTCTAACTTCAGCCTTCAGCTTTTTAGGAATGATATTATGGGTTTGTTTGGTTTTGTTAACAGAGATGAAAGAATCAGAGCAAGGTTTGCAGAGGCACTGTGCTGATAAGCTTCAAATTCTGTATCTTAATGAATTGGGATGAGAGTGTGACTTGGGCAGGGTGTTCTTTGAACCAAAGCCTTACTGGGATCAGGTTCTCACCTGCCTTCCAGCCTCTATTAAGCCAATGACTGGTTACAAGGAAACTTGAAGGAAATGGTTTTATTAATTTGACCGAATGTTAAGAAAAAGGCTTGACTCTTCAGTGGATGAGGACAGAGCCCCACCTGGAAAATGGGAGTGGTGGAATGAAGGAAATAAGCCAGTACACCGGCAGGATCTGTGAGCTTTTAGAACATCAGGATGGTGATGAAGAGCTTTGGTGCTCCACTGTGGGCTTTGAGAGTTGCATGTTCCATCCCACCCTGATATCCCTGAACGGGAGTGTGTTTGGCTTCCTCAATAAACAGGCATTTTCTTGTTATATCCTTTCCATAGCAGGAGTATTAATTGTTAGAAAAGATAATGTCTGAATGATACAGTAAATAATAGTAAATTGAGAGACAGTGTGAAAGAGCTGTTGGTACTTATGGAGATCATCTCTTGCTCACAAGAGATGGTAGTTTTAATTCTTACGTGGTGTTAACTGTTCTGTGATTTGGAAGGCATACTTACATCATTGCTTTAGCAGTAATGTGAAATTTCATCCCTCAGAGCTGGAAAGTCAGCAAAACAAGTCTCTGACATGTGAAAAATCTGGAGTTTGGAGGTTGTCCATTGGTGTCTTGATATCATCATCCTTCTCTTTGTTCAGAGCTTTAAATAAAAAGGTCACACCAATTTTTTGTTATCTAGTTTCCTCCTCCTCTATGGGATTATTAATGGCTCTGAAGCAGATCTGGGCTCTTGTTTCATGATCTGCTTTAGAGACTGGATTCTGTATGAGACCAGTGGTAGCAGGAGTTGGGTGGTAAAAAATTAAAAGAAAGAGTAAGAAAGAGTAAGAAAGCTCATACTTCTTTGTACCTGAAGTAGTTCTGTAGGTATTTTAGAGCAGCATGGCTTGCAGTGCTTATGATTTATGCACTTAAGCCCTGACACTGCCTTTATTGCTGAAAACGTCATGCAACTTGTGCTGTGCAATGATTTTATACCTAAAAGAGCTTTCAGATTTTTTTTTCCTGCCTTTTTTGCTTGGAGATTGTTTTTAGTAACCTAGTTTAATGAAAGGTACTAAACAATGTAAGGCTTTTACAGATCATTTGCTGTATCTGAAAGGTCCCATTTTAATGTGTATTTTATGCATTTTCTTCATCTACCATCTGCTTTTATCTCAGCCAATGACAGCAAGATTCCTAAGGCTACTTTCTCTTTAAGGGAACACTGCTTACATAAATAGTCCTTTACACCATCTCCTTGTTTTATGATATTAATTGTTTATCAGAGGACAGGAAATATTCCTTAGAAATGTGTTTTTCCTGCTTGTGCATGCCTTGTTACTATTTCGATTATGCAGATTCTTGATGCTGTGGAAATTTGTGCCTGATGACGCCAAGGCAGCTGCACGTTGTTAGCATTGTAGGCTGTCAGATGATCATGTGGGATTCTTGCAGCATGCAACATTCAATAGGATTGAAAAAGGGCTTTTGATGCAAGGCATAGCTTTCAGAATATATTTGTGCCTTTTAGTTAGCTAATAGAAAATCATAATTTATTATCTTTAAATTTAAAATGCTGCCTCATTTTTCTTCTGGTTGGTTTCATTTTGGCTTCACTAGAAGATGCATCTGGTACATCCACGATTGAGGAGTTTATTAATGATACTGTCGTTCAGTTCACTTACTTTTTTTCCTTTTAGAGTCCTAGCTAGCCCACAGATTACATGATCACATGTTCATCCAGTCATTCATATAGAACACAAACCACCATGCATGATTTCTTCTTCTTTCTTTTCCCTCTCTGCCTTTTTTATTCCTTTTAAGTTGCTTTGTCATGTTCTCTTTTATCATCAAGCTCAATCTTTGTCTTCCCCTCGCTGCTATTTGTTCTGTTTTTTCCCATGCTTGGTTACTGCAATATTATTTGATTAACGGGCTGTGATGATGATGAACCTGCACACTGGAGGAGCAGCTACTACAGTGGTGATGAAGGGATGTAATAATGGTCGCTATCCTCGGAATTCTCTCTACAGTGACTGCATAATAGAAGAAAAGGCAGTGGTCCTGCAGAAAAAAGACAATGAAGGATTTGGATTTGTGCTCAGAGGGGCAAAAGGTATGTGCTTCTGTGTGTGTGTGTGTGTGTGTGATATGCAGTGGCATAAAGAAATTTATACATCTTGGATTATAAGCAGGAATTATTCTTGGTGCACTTGGTTGCTAGACAACAGGATTCTCTGTATGCTATACTACTCAGATGGATTTTAGTGGCTTCTGTCTGAAGCAGTTTGCATTTTTACATAGGAGAAACACTGTATAATCGTTTGGGGAGGGTGGAGAAAGTTTTGTATTTTTATTGTGCTGCTGTATGTGATATTTTGTCATTAACCTGTTTTGGCATGCAGTTTACCTAACTGTGGGAAACCTGCTTTCCTTATAAATCCTGCTTCTTTATTTCGTATGTCAGTCTATATAAATAGGTCTGCGAGTAGGAATAGACAAGAGAGTGATATTTTCTTTAAATTAGGTGTGGATCTTCTGCAAGGTGACATTGGTGCAGTTTTAGTATGAAAATATGATCTTTTTTTTTATATCTTCAGAAGCTGCATGTATGTTGCATGGCCTGTAGTGTGCTCATTTTTAAAGCTGTTCATATGTTAAACTGCATGGTACTTTCCTGTAGGCTAAAATCTATAATAATGGCATTTTTTTAAGAGTTAAAAAAGGCATTCTATTTAATGCTCTGCTTTTTAACTTCCAGTGCATTATGCTCCTTTTGTATTTAAAATATATATATATGATGGTATGTCCCATCTCTCGCTCCCCCTCATTTTACATGGGTTCTCCCTTGCCTTGCTTGAGCATGAAAATTATTCCATGTCTTCATTCTTGGGACATGGCTTCTGCTCTCCCTGTTTTCCCCACCCTAAAGCAGAGCCACCATAGATTTTCAGGGCTGTAAAAGCTTTTCTAGGCTTAGCTAAATAAAATTTTTGGAGTTGTAAATAGGAAAGTCAACAGCAGGACCTTTTCCCTGAGCACTGGTGGGAGTTCTCTGTGCTTTGAGCAGAGGTTACTCCCTCTGGGTAAGCCCAGCAGTTCTCCCCAGATTTTCTCTGGAGCAGGGAGGGCACCTCAGGTGAAAGACCCAAGGACTTTCCTGCTTGTATGTGTACGTGACACAGGGAGAGGGAAGGTTGTTACAGGGCCAGCTGTGCCTCCTTTCCTAAAAAGTGATTCAGTTTGGTATCTTTTTTAGTACACACCTCTACATGGAGAAGGAATAATTCTGTTTGATCTTTGTCATCCTTTCCCACCCCACCCTTCACCCCCCTCAGTTTGGCCAGGAGCTCTCCTCTGGCCACAGTACATAATTTATTTCTAGTTGGGTGTTGTTGACAGAGTTTCAATCATTTTGCCAGGCACACAAAAGGGTTACTTGAACTAACACTGAATATCCTGGAATACTCAGGATCCAGCTATTGCCTTGATCCGGTTTGAGTCAGTAAAGAAGCATGTATTTTCCAGTCTGAACTGAAGACCTGTGGATTGCTATTGCAGAAAGATTTCACTCTGTCCCCACATCCTGATCTCCTCTGGGATGCTCTTACTTTCAGCACCCACTATTTTTTAACCCTAAATTTGAATGGCCAATAATAGGCCTGTAGTCAAGTGGTATTTGCAAGCACTCCATAACTTTCTTTTTTTTAATGTGGTATTTATTTTTAAAGCTGACACACCAATTGAAGAATTCACCCCAACTCCAGCCTTTCCTGCTTTGCAGTACTTGGAATCTGTGGATGAAGGGGGAGTAGCATGGCAAGCTGGCCTGAGAACTGGAGACTTTTTGATCGAGGTAGGAGATCCTGAAATTTGATTCTCAGTGCTCTGTTGGGAAGTAGGGACATTCCCACTGCAGAACTGACTTTGGGAAAAGTGTGTGATGCTTCTGAGCAGGAAGCTTTGTGGACTAACACCAGTAATGTGCTTCACTTGATCTCTTTGAAAACCTCAAGCAGCATTTAGGAAAGCAGTTACAGAGAGCAGTGGTCAGCTTGGCTGGGATTTTTCTGCTTGTTCTTTTTGTTCTTTGGGAATACACTCTCAGAGATATTTGGGATGGTTTATTCTTTGAATTAAGATATATAGATTACTTTCAATATTTATTGTAGGCTATCAGTTCTCTTCTAAGTATTTCTAGAGAGTAACCAAAATGAACGTCTTTTTCTGTGATGAGAAATATCTGAGATCTGGTGCTGTTTAGTAACCATGGAGAATAAAGCAAATTACTTTGGCTTGAAATTGAATTGTTCTAACAGTGCACTGTAAATACAGAAAAGAAACAACGGATGTTATTGCAGTATAAACTACCTTGTAAAAAGGGGTATATTTAAATACTCCATTCATACCGTCAGTACCTCCGTGTTTGATAATTTGGAGGATTTTTGGTCGGTATTTTAGGTTTTGTTTAAGTAGTTGGTTCTCCTTTTGAGTGTTACTGGGCAGTTTGCAGTAAAATCATGATTTGGGATTTTCTTCCTCTCCCCCCCCCCCAGCCTTTTCATGACCAACAAGGGGATGCTGTGATTCTGTTCAATTGGGTACTGAAAATAGATCTTTTGGGATGGATTGATCAAGCCTTGTCTGTAAGATCTATTGATTCATTTTATGCTTCCTCCTTCCATCACATATCTATATTGGGAAAGTATTTGCTGATGCTACATTTACTTCTGCAGAGCTGCTCTTTCCATTGGGGAGAGGGTATAATATGCAGCCTTTTTTCTGTTATGTGCCTTGAAATCCCATGGTGATTGAATTTAAATAGTTGCACCACTTCTTCGCAGTGGAGCAATGGAAGAACAGGCTTTGCAGGCTTCTAAAGTAAATAGATGTGCTTTTTTATCTCTGCCTTCAAAGTACATTTCCCTTACTGTTTGTTTACTTAAAAATAAGCATTTAAGAAACCATTGAAGACCAGCTTAAAAATTGTACTGTTGTGTTCTCTGGGAGAGGATCCTTTCAAAACTATCATTATTGGTGTTAGGTGGGGCCTTTTAAACAAGGCTTTATTTTTAGAAGTTGATTTCTTGTTAGGCTTTTAGGAAGTATGAATAGTCTCTACTGGCAGATTTCACAGATAGATTTGATGGTGAATAATGTGCAATTTAATGGAGAGCATTACAGAATGACAGCTATGCCTATGGATTTTTTAAAGATCTCTGAAGGGATGCAAGAACTCGTTCTGTACAAAGCTTTACTGTTGTTTTTTTTTTTTGGCAAATGAGGGAAGAATGATAATTAATTGTCTAGACAATTTACTCCTAGCCGTAGCATAGAAGAGCAGTTAAACATGCACATCCATTGCTGAATCAGAACGTTAAGCCATACTCCAGCATATCTGTAATTAATTCCAAAAGAAGCCATTATTACATGCAAATCAGATCCATTTCTGTGTAATTTATGTTCATCGGGGTTATTCCCTTCTGAATTTTGCAACTTAATTATGAGGAAATGCTAATCCCGAGAAATTACAACTTTGCTGTTGCTGAAGACTTTTGTGTTGGAGAAAGGCAGGGTTTTTTCCTATTTTTATGAACAACATGCAGCGCACAGTACTGGCTGTGAGAGAAAGCCATCTTTGAAGGTATTTACAGTGATGCAAAAGATATTGCTGCTGAAAAATAAGTGGCTGCTCCACCTGCACTTGTAGGAATGCCAGACTCCTTTATTTCTTGTGTTGAACCCAGAAGATTTCAATTTACATGGTGCAGTCAGCCTATCTTAGTGCTGAATGATTTCTCCCCTGACTCTAAAGTTTATGCTGCTGTGTGTAAGTGCCACCTCAACCATTTGTAAGTAACATAATGCATTCATCATAAATGTCACATGGATAATAAAAGAGTTAATGGGCAACTAGGATCCTAATTAGTCCCATTTATAACACTTGCAGCAAGTGACAGGCTTTAGAGAAGGGAGAGTCCACTTTGGCAGGGGGCACAGTGTGAGGGAGAGCGGATGTTTCACTCCTTCTTGAGGAGGTTCAGTGGCTTGGGGTCATGGAGATAAGAGTAGCCTCACTCTAGAAAGGCAGATTTAGCAGGAAGCTAGATCCTTTCTTTGGAAGCAGGAGAGATCAGGAGGGTGGGAGAAGACAAGGCATCATTTCTTCATGTGTGGTTCTGGACTGGTAACTTCTGAAGGGGGTAAAGCTTCAAAATCAGCTACGAAGCATAGTGATAATTCAGTGTTGGAGTTGATGCATGTCGAGCAGAACAAATAAAAGATCTATACAGAAAAGGAAGAAAAGGTAAATGGATTAGTATTAGCTGCAACAGGACTGGAATGATATCCTATGACTGAGGTTTTATCAAGTTTTCAGTTTTTCTATATTGAATACTTTAATACTGATCTGTTCAACCTGTACAATTAGTTTTAGCATGAGACGTCAGACTTTAATGTTGCACTTGCCTTTGGAAACAGTGTTCATAGAATCTTCATGGAAATTTCTGACTGTATATGTTTTTTCTCTTTCCTTGAAACCTCGTCATGATTTTGTGATAAAAATTTTGAAGTGTGTAGTGGCTTTCCTGGATGAGCACAAGTCAAATGTACTGGAAAAGTGCACGACTAGTTTTAGAGCTGAAAGAGTAAGCTAAGACAACTGTCATGGATTTTCATGAGCAATTCAATGGATGCCAATCCATGTGACTTTTTTCTTAGCTTTGGTAAGCAATCAGAAAAGGAGGATGGTTGTGATTTGATTGTTACAACCCTATTTGTTATTTTTCACTATTTTAGTTGATGTTTTCTTGAATCTTGATATCTACCAAATTAAAAAGACAAAAGTAAAGCAACATATTAGAGCAAGTGCTATTCAACCTAATAATTACAGTTTATATTAGAAAGGGATTTAAAAACCTACAACTATCATGAATTCCAAAGCCTTTGTAAGTCACTGATAATTTATTCTGTGACTGGATTTCTACACTTGCACCTGTTCAGGTTTGTAAATGTTCAGAGAGTTGTGACTTGAAACATGACTTCAGGAATTCTTTAAGCTGAGGGTGTGTTTTCTTTGGAGATTTGATTTGCTAACATACACAAGTCTAACCCTCTTAGAATAAAGAAATCTATTAAACTGGAAGACCTGTTTCAGCTCAAGATTAGCTTTTTTGGTGTTTTTTAGTGTGGTAGTATGGAGATTGTCTTTCTAAATGAAAACCCAATGGATTATTAACTATTTGCTATTGTTGTACTCGTGAGTGTACAGCTTGTTTTGCAGGTGTTGCATGATTTGATATGTGTTTTTATTTCATGAGCATATCTCATGCAAACAATAATGTTATAATATCAACACTCAGAAAGCACAGTTAATTCTGCAATATTTTACCAGAATAATGCTTTTGTTCTCTAAATGAGGCATTGAAGTTTGCATTATTGTGCCATAAAATCTCTTATTTTTCCAGATAAATGGAAATGTTATTGTCTTTGGAATAGCATGGCTGCTTATTTACATTCCAGTTAAAATGTAAACAAGACAAAACCGGTGAATTCTTTATTTAAGAAATCAAACGACAAAATTCGAGTTTAATTTGAAGATCAAAACCAGAGATGGTAATAGAAGAAATTTCATCATTTTGCTGCAGAACTCTTCAGTTGGTACTTATAGTAAAACATGCAGAGTGGTCTGTAATGTAATTGCATGTGTTTTTCTAACCTCAAGAGCTTATACACTTATAAACTTTACTTCAAGTAGTGATAGGTGAAAAATAAACATTTTATTTCAGACAGCATTATTTTATCATTATATTAAAGGTATCTATCCTCTGACTATATGTAAAAAAAAGACATTTAAAATATCTGAAATATTTTAACAATTTACACCCACAAGTAACTTTTGATTAATATTTAGCAGTAGGTCATGTGTTGTTTTATTCCAGCTCTTTATGCAAACTTCAAATCTGATCTGGAAACCAAACTTTTAACTTCATTTTTGCAACTTAGACTATAATAATTATGAATATTTTTAGCAAGCATAGCATTGTTATGCCTTACATTGGTATTCAGTGGCTGGGTGAATGTGTTTCTGATTTAAATCCTTTTAGCAACCTAGAGAAACCTTCCCATCCTCAATAATCTTCACTAATTACCCAGTGGCTGAGTTTTCTCTTATTTCTAGTGTGAACTTTGCTGGCTTCTACCACCAGATAGAAATCTAAATTATTTCTTTTCTCAGCCTCATGGGGACCACGAATTTTTTTCTCACTTGGAAATAAAAGGGGGTTTTATTGGTGTCTTTTTAATAACAGGGATTATCACGTTGCAACTGAAAGTTTGCTCGTCCCCTCCTGGAAGTGTGGATCCCAGCTCCATGCAGTATTTAGGAAGAGCCTCCCTAGTATTGTGTGTAGGAGGAATGGAGCAAACCCAGCATTATTCTTACATATTCATGTGCTGTGTTTGCCTCTCACACAGGCCTTTTGGTGGACAAGAAGAGTAAGGTCCTGCCTTGCATTAGGGATTTTTGGTGCCAATTTGGCTGCTTGGATGCAGAGAGCCTCCCCTTTGGCAGGAGAACAGCCAGGCAGGGAGCTGTTCTGTTCCTAGACAGCATCTAGTCCAGGTTTTGGTTCAGCTGTACAAACAGGATTCTTGCATCTTTTTAATGAGGAGACATTTGCCAAAGCTGCAGGAGTACTGCAGTGTTTGAGTGCATATATATATGGATGGTCTTTAAGGTACCTTCCAACCCAAACCATTCTAGGATTTTATATAAATTATATACACACCTATTCTGGCCACCATTATTTTTAAATCTGTATATTTAATTGACACATAGTTTGATTTAACCAACCA